TACAAATGTGCTTGACACAGTGGATGAATGTATGCATTGTGATAAGAGCTCCTGATAAAATTATTTTTTTAAATAAATAAAAATAGAATGGCATTTTAATGTACCAAAATGAATAGATATTCAAGTACTATGCTGATAAATACAAAATAAAAATATTGAAATTCCAAGTAAATCTATTTAATAAAATTTTATATTTGTTTTGTTATTTTATATATGCCATATATGTGCACAAAAACTATGTAATTTTTCCTCCAATGTAGATAGTTGGCCAGCCTCTTGTCCCTTGACAATCTTAAAGCTCTGGAGTTAAACTCTATTGAATTTGTACCCAGCATAGAATTTTGTATTTTGTTAATTTTGCAAACAAAATATGCATTATATACAGTATTCTCAGAAATTGAGCTGATGTTTACTAAGGCAGTAAAATTTCAGACAGTGCCCAGACTGTCATCCTTTTAGGGTCAATAAATATTTGTTACTATTTTTAATCATGTACTTTAAGGGAGTTCTTTCATTCCTAAATTGACTCTCTCTATAATAGAAATACTGTATCACGTTGCCTACACCAACTAAGAATGAAAAAGGAAACTTCATGCCCTGTTTCATACCTTTGCAGAATCAGTTGTGAACTTTTAAAAGCTGCTTTAACAAACGGCAAGAAAATTTGAGGATAGATGCTACTTAAATGGGATCATTTAGGAATGATTGTTTTTTTACCCAGGAAGCATCATGTTGTTAGGGGCCCTCCAGTCAGTTCTGCCTCAGCAACCATATGGACAACAGAACGAAACACCACCAGATCCCTTACCAGTCTCACGGTTGTCGCTGTGTTTGGGTGTTTGGGTCCATTATTATAGCCACTCAATGCATCCCATGGAGCGTCTTCCTCTTCTTTACTTGCCCTCTCCTCTACTAAGTACAATGTTCATCACCAGGGACTGGTCTGCCTGGTAACATATCCAGAGTATATCAAACAAGTTTCATAATCCTCACTGATTTCAAAAACATGAATTCCTTGTTTTGTTCGTCTTTGTTGTCCATCGTCTAGTTTTCCCATGCGTATGAGGCAGCTGAGAACACCGTGGCTTAGGTCAAGCAGGTCTTAGTTCTCAAAGTGACATCTTTGCTTTGGTAACCTTTAAAGAAGTAGTTTGCAGTAGTTTGGCCTAGTTTAATGGGACACATCGTACTTACATTGTAGTTAACGCTAGTTAATTCATTATAACATATTATTTCAGCATATGATGAAACCAACCACGATATTCTACTGATCATTTTTGTTGTTCCCACGTTTCACTGTTAGAAGTAGGACATCTCTTTTGATGAAAATGGGTCACGAGGTTTTCTAGAGTGTATGCCTTAGAGTGTTAGAAGTCAGTCTGTTTCAACGTTACAGGATAATCTCAGATTCCCCTGTAAAGTGGTTATAAGTCTGTTTCAATGTTACAGGATAATCTCAAATTCCCCTGTAAAGTGGTTACATAGATCCAGAATTCCTTCTCTGAAATTTTTTGGGCCATATATATTTCAGAGTTCACACTTAAAAGTTTTTTGAGAGGGAAAATGAATTTATTGTTGGATTTTTTTGGCTTTTAATCTTTTAGAAATTATTGATTGGGAGTTATTACATATATCATTCCACA